ACAGAGACAGAGAGACAGAAAGTGAGACATCACCCACCCCCCAGGGCGTCCTCTCTCCACACAGACGGAATACAAATAGAGTGCTGGAAAGGCCCAGCCAAGGTCATGCCCACAAGAGGGCGCCACTGTGAGATGGCTGACACCACATGGGAGGCCTGGGCTTGGTTTCCAGACCAACCTGAACAGGTAGGGTATGGTGACGTGCACCTGTCGTCCTAGCTGACTGGGAGGCTGGGGCAGGAGGATCGTAATGGGTAGACCCTGTTACAATCATGTATCTCTAGAGCCAGCAAGTGGCCTGGAGGCTAAGATGCTGGATCCCACATGGCTGGCTACGCGATTCAAGTCCTGGATCCAGGAGTCTGAAAATCACAATGGATATGTGTGCCTGCGTGCCCAAAATCCCAATAGGGGACTGAAGGAGAAGAGACTGCAGTGTGGCCATTCCCCTTAAGGAGTGATTTCTCATTTCTCTCTCTCTCTGACAAATACACATAATCTATAGCAAAAACTAAAACAATTAAAATTAAAATGTATCTCTCTGTTTCTCCCTCCTGTACTTTTCCTCCCATAAGAAAGAAAAAAGTAGTGCCGATATATGGGACGGGTCTTCAAAAAGAAAATGGAAAATACATATCATAAAAAATTATACATATATTTCAGTGTTTCTACACAAAAATAAACTCATGTTTTCATTTCATTTTTCCATGAACTTTTTGAAGACCCCTTGTGCTGTATCTACAGTGTGTGTATGTATGTGAGTGCGCGTGTGTATCTGAAGGCAATTGCCAAAGAGGTCCTCCCCCAATCATCCGTGCTGTGGCAACAGCTGGCAATGGACATGGGGAAATGACAATGAGTAGTGACTAGGTCAGAGGGTAAGTGGCCCTGAGCCTGTCTGTCCTCCTGGTGGTGAAGGTTGCAGGGCAACCCTGCAGCCATCTGGGGGCCCTCAAGCATCATCGGACAGAAGAGCTAGGCTATGACAGGATTTGGCTTCTGGTTTGGTCACATTGCTAACCGTGGGACCTTAGCTATCTAACCTTTTTGTTGTTGTTGTTCCTTCTTTTCCTTATTGGTAAAATGAGAGTGATAAAAACCTACTCTAAGAGCTCACGAAGAGAACTAAATGAGATAACAGTCATGAAACACTTGCGAGAGCTCATGGTAAGTACTTACAAAGCGGCTGCAGTTAGGCCTGACCCCACGTGCCACACACCGAGCAGACACGGACTCAGTTATGTACGGCTGCAATGATCCTGGCTGTTTCACCCCTGGGAAAGAACGTGAGCTCCCAAAGAGAAGGCACATTGCGTTTCATTCACTATTTTACGTCCACTGCTTGGTATGCTGCCTGGCACATTTTATATACTCAATGACAAATGGTAAATGGAAAAATAAATGAACCAATCAATGGGTGTACAAAAGAATCGACAGCAAGCACTTTCCAGGGAATGAGAGGTGCTTCCGGAAACAGGTTAACCACAGTCCTTTTCATCTGGGAGATTATCCAGCTATAACCAGGACGGCATAGGGGGCGGGAGAGGAGACAGTTGGGTGTCCTCCTCCTGGCCCACGGTGAGTTTCTCTTTGTTTAAGGGACAGGTTCCTGCAAGCAGCTTGAAGGCAGAAGTCAGCCATGGCCCAGCCTTCCCTGAGCCCAGCTTTTAACTACCAGACCAAATGCAGGGGCCAACACCTTGGGGACAGGTGTTCATTTGTTACGACCTATCTCATTTTAGGGGAAGACATTGAGGGTCAAGAGATCTAAATAATCAACTCAGGGTGAAATGACCACAGCTGGTAAGGGATCATCTGAGGATTTACACCCAGATCTATGGACAGTAAAGACCCTATCCCCCACACACACCCACCTAACAAGGCCATGGTATCCCAGTTTCAGGAAAGCAACAAGTTATGAGTATCATCTTTTCCTGAAAGAGAGGGCATGGCCTTTATCACTGTGCATAGTGAGCTAAGTCTGGGTAACGCTAGCAGGGGGACTGGAGGCCTGGCTAATGCAGGACAGCAGAGTCTGCTGCAGGACAGCAGAGTCTGCTCCAGGATCTTGCCTTCACTCAGGAGCCCTTCCCGGGACCCCTTCACTGCCTCAGGCCAGTGACCCTCAGAGTGTGGAAGTAACCTGTCAGAAGCCCTTCAATATCCAGACCCCTGAGGCAGTGTTTTTGGGAGTGAGCCCAGGAGGCAGTATCCTGGCCGACTCTTAGTTACTGAGGTTTACCGACCAGCGCCCTGGGCTCCTGTCTCAAGGGCCTCCCTGTCCCTCCACCTCCTCAGTACTTCCTAAGCCCAGCTCTTCTGCTTCCTGCTCTACTGCACCACAGCCCAGGCAGAAGGGAGCCAAGGCCTGTGGCACTCAGGGGAGGCCTGGGAAAAGGGGACTGGGCTGACAACCCCTGGTGTGTCGGGGAGGCCTTGCCCGTGCAATCAAGCAATCTCACTGGTGTCAGAATCCCTCTGGCATAGTTAAGCAAGCTCGTGGGAAATGGACATCTGATACCCAGATCCTCAATTACAGGGCATGAGAAAAGGAGAAGGGATGTCTGTGCTCTTCAGGAGGGAATGAAAGGAAGCGTGTGGTAAGATGGTGGGAATTGAGTGCTCTGAGGTGGTCTACAGAGAATGTGTGGATGGGCACAGAACCCTCAAAGAGGATTGGGGTGTCTAAAAGAGCTGTTCAGGTTGTTTTTTTGAGCAGTGTGTAAGATGACCTTTCTGGGCTGCCCAGTTCTTTGGTACATTGTTGTTTCATTTTTCTTTATTCTTGATAGGGCATGCATGCACATGAGAGAAAGAGAGAAGGGGACACAGACCTCTGCAGGGTCTGTTCGCACCATGACCCCCTTCCTACAGTACTACAGCCCATTGGATCCTAGGCAATCGTGTGATTGCCAAGAGTTTTCAGGCTGACCATGCCAGGGATTCAAACTCCAGTCATCGTGTGAGATCTGGCTTTTTTTTTTTTTTTTTTTTAGTTTCTATTTAGGGTGCATATGTTCATGAGAGAGAGAGAGAGAGAAATTATCCCCTATGGGGGATGGTCACACCACAGTCCTTTCTTCTCCCTACCCATTCTCTGGACTTTGGGCCCACACACACATATGCCTAGTGTGATTTTTAAGACGCCGGGTCCAGGACATGAACTGCACAGTTAGCCATGTGGGATCCAGCCACCTTAACTCCCACATCACCTGATGACCCAATCTGGCTTCTTTTGAGCAGTAAATTACCACTGTGCCACAGAGCCAGCAACTTCTTTTTTTTTTGGCCTTCTCCTCCAGTCTCTGTATGCACATGTGCCCAGCGTGATCTTCAAACTGTTGGGTCTGGGATTCAAACTTCAATCAGCCATGTAGGAGTCCAGTACCCCAACCACTACACCATCTGCTGGCCTCCTCTTTTTTTATGCCAAAGGGTGTATGCACAGCATGAGCGAGATATAAAGAAAACACTCCCTTACAGGGGTACTCCCCAACAGGGTTTGGTCATGCCACAAACCTTTTTCCTCCAATTCTCCATTTACTCAAAATCCCAGGCCTGCCCAGCATGATTTTTAAGCCAACAGGGTGAGGACTTGAACCCTGGTCAGCCATGTGGGATCAAGCTTCTTTTGGGCAATGCTTAACTGCTACACTTTGGGATCAACCCTAGTAAATTCTATTAAACGCATACATATTTGGTGTGAGCTGTTTTTGTTGGGAACCTGAAGAAGTGTCAGATCTTCAAGCAGAAGATAGGACTGACTCAGGCTACACTCAGCCATCTGGATTCCATCCTGGGATCTGGGAGGAGCCTGAGAATCCAAAGGATTCAGAGTCAGAGGGCTTTGAGTTTCTCCAGGCCATAGAACTGGAGGAGGTCAAGCAGATGTTCCCTAGTCTTGGGGTACAGAGAGGCCGCCGGCCAACTCACTCAACCCTGAAACTAAAAAGTAAGAGCAAAAATGGAAAATGTGGTTTTCTGTTCTATAAATGTGATACTAATTACAGTCATTTGTGCAAACTGCTTCCCATTAATGCTTAATTGCCTGCCATGCGGTATAGTAACAATTGCGCATTGCATGAACTTCACGTCAGATTAGCGGAGTTTTATTTGCCTCTGTGTGGGCTGGTTTTCCTCCTGCCTTGCTTTGGCAGCCTGGTTGTCTATGGATTGATATAGCATTACTTAGAACTTAAAAAAAAAAAAAAAGTGGGTACAATACTCAGAATTTGGGTAATTTTATGCTTTAAGGGCAGATGACCTTACTGTGGCTCAACTACAAGTGTACTGACTAGTTTTGGGGGCTGGGTAAAAAAAAAAAAAAAAAAAAAAAAAAAAAGAAAGGGAGGGAATGTGATTTCTCATGGTTTATATCTCTTTGCCCTTTCTTAAATTTAGAAGACCTATAAAGTGTCCCTCGGTAAAGCAACTAGGTCCCTGCACACTTGTAAAACAGAACTATTCAGTTATTCCCAACCAATGTTAATAACTCATCCTATACCCTTCAGCTTTAGAGAGTGGCGTATGGAGACAATTCCTCAGGGCATAAGTAATAAAGACAGTGGATGTGAAGGCTCTTCAGTAGTTCCCCCTAAAGAACAGGCTGGAAAGTAAAGGAGACCAGCTCATGCATTCAAGTCTATTTTTTTTTTTTTTTTTTTTTTTTTTGAGAGAGAGAGAGAGAGAAAGAGAGAGTTTTCTTGCTATAGGGCACGGGTGTTCATCAGAGAGACAGTGAGAGAGAAAGTGAAAAATCACCTCCCAGTGGAATGACCCTCCCTTCTCCATTCTCCTCCCAATGCCCTACCATGTGCTGGCTTGAGCCTAGGCACTGTGATGGTAGAGTAGGGAGTAGGGTCAACAAAAATGATGAAACTCCATTTCAGTCCTCAGAGAGATTATAACTGCATTGCATGTGGTACCAGGGATGAAAATAGGCCAGATAAAAGAAGAGAGAGGAAGGGGAGAGTACATCCACATAGGCAAAGCAATCTTACTTCTGCAAGTCTTCTGATCCGAGTTGAGAATGTACCCCTGCTTGCACCTGCAGATGTAGGAGCCAGGGGTGTTGATGCAGAAGTGGGCGCAGTTATGCTCCAGGGTGCTGCACACGTGGACGGCTGAAAGGAGAGACACAGGAAGTACCGTGAACAAGGATTCTTCTCTAACCTCCGTCCACCCAGCGAACGTTTATTCAAAACCTGCCTTGTGAGGAAGAGGGCAGGCCTCACAAGCAAACTGAAGTTCCTACCCTTCAGAGGGTTAAACAGTCTAAGATACACAAAAAACAAGACAAGCAGTAATCTATAACTAAAGGGTTGCGGAAGGTCATAAGGAAATGGTGTGAGGCCAATGAATTGAACCAAATCAACTAGCTGATATTCGATTGCTTTTGACTTACACAACCCTAACTTTCTAGTTCAACTTAATAATACCCATTTGAGGAACAAGGGCATTAAAAAGTTAACTGACACCAGGAATTTTGAGTAAAATGTGAATTTTCAGTAGGCAGCAAAAGAGTTAGAGAAAACTCATCAGTTAAATGAGGATGTGTTTAAAGAACCAGGTTTCTGGGACCAGCAGTTAGCGTAATGGCTTTGTTGCTGGACTCCCATGTAGCCAGCCGTGGTTTGCGTTCCAGACCCAGTGGCTTAAACTCACGCTGGGCGCGTGTGCGTGTGTGCCCAAGATCCCGAGAGGAGAATAGAGAAGGGATTGCGGTGTGACCATCCCCCCCTGGGGTGGTGGTGATGGTGGTGGTATGTGTGTGAATTCTGGCTTTCTGACTCTCTGTCTCTCTCTGTCTTTCTGGCAAGCGCACGTGCCCTATAGCAAAAACCTCTCCAAAAAAAGAAAGAAAGAAAAAAAAAGAACCAAGTTTCTCAAGATTGTAAGTCATATGAGTAATAGAGAAAAAGAAAATTTTATTACCAGAGGGCATGTGTGTTCACTAGCGAGAGACAGAGAAACACAGAGGGGGAGGGGCAGGGAGAGGGAGAGGGAAAAGCACCCTGCAATGAGGCGTGGTCACATAATCCTTTCTCCTCCGTTTCTTCATCCTGTCAGCATTTGGGGCATGCACACACATGTGCCCAGTGTGTTTTTCAAGCCACCAGGGCCAGCATTCAAACTGTAGTTGGCCACGTGGGAACAAACTCACTTAACCACCAGGCCACTGGGCTGGCCCAAATAATGTAATTTTTTAATATGTAAAAGTATACAAAGTATTTTGGGATAAAAAATAATGCAGTCATATATTTCCTGTTTCAATAATATCTTTATATCTCAATTTACAATATTTCTGCATTTAGTGTTTGAAGTACTTTGACTTTCAGATAACATCAATTCTTGCATAAGTCTATCTGGAGCTCATAAAAACTCTCATTGTTTTGGATGTTTTAATTTATGACTTTACTCAATAGAGTGTAGCTTGAGCATATTTACAAGTAACGAGCATCAGTATAAACAGAACGAGTTGTGCAAGTGTTCTTCACATATAAGAGAGATGTCTACATGGAGAAAATGCCCATACGAAGCTAAAATGAGAGGGACATTCAAAAGCTAAGAACAGTCCCATTAATCCAGTGCTTGGGAAAAGTCAGCTACTGATGAAATCCAGCTGACAGCAGTCTCCACATCTAAGGAAGAAACGTGGTGGGCAACAAATGAACTAGGGAAGTGGCAGTGTTTTATTTTGCAGTAGCACAATCTACATTGCATTGTTCTGAGCCGATGCTTGCCTGTGTTTACCTGCTGGGGTACAAAGGACATTAGGAAAGCTCAGAGAGTAAACCCAGCCATTTTTACTTTAGTGTAGGGTGACATAAACATCTTTTTTGTGACCGTGGGCAATTGTCTTTCTTTTTTTAATTTATTTTGTATATACATATCTCCTCCATTCTCCTCTTGGGATTTTGGACACACATGCACACGCACTCAGTGTGAGTTTAAGCCACCGGGTCCGGTACTCAAACCGTGGTCAACTACATGGAAGTCCAGCAACGCAGCCATTATGCCAACTGCTGGTCCCTATTATGATCTTTCTTTCTTTCTTCTGTTAAATTCTCTATAGGGCATGCACACTCACGAGAAAGAGAGATAGAAAGTGAGAAAACAAGACACCAGGTCTGGGACTCAAACCATGGTCAGCCATGTGTGAGTCCAGTGCCTTAACCACCACACCACCTGCTGGCCCCAACCCTGAGCAATTTTCTCAAGCTCTTTAAGTAAAAGCAAGATTAAAAATAGACCTACCTCATAAGGTCTTGCAAGGGTTAAATTAATGAAGGTGATAAAGTGCTTAGGATAGTGCCTAGTCCTTGATATCTGCTAATCATTTTTTAAAGAATTATTTGTTTAATTTTATTTATTCATTCATTTATCTTAATTTGACCAGAGAAAGACAGACACACAGAGAGAAGGAAAATGAGAAACCAAGCCACCAGGTCCAGGACTTGAACCATGGTCAGCCATGTGTGAATGTCCAGCACCTTAACCATCACACCACCTGCTGGCCCTTCTGTTAATCATTTTATAGCAAAGGAACGGAAATGCTTTTTAATGAATTTACGAGTGAGTAAATGAATGAGGAACGGTGGGGCTGCTTGGGGGTCTTGAAAGAAAATATTACTAGGTGAGTCAACGTCTGTGAAATCAGTCCAGTCCCCCACTTCACAACAGGGCCTCAAAGGGGTGTGATAAATGTAGACTTTGCCCAGGTCAGTCAGTGAAGGGTGTGTCTTGGGAATGCTATTAGGGCCTTAAATTGTGCCCGACCCAGGCAAGATGGGGCAATTAGTAGGAACAGTCTGGCTCCAGGCTCCAAAATACCAGGTCAATCTGATAAACAGGTACCAAGAGGCTAATTAAAAGCAGTCCTGCCCAAGTTTCTATGAATCACCAGAACACTCGGACAGACACACATTTTTCAGTCCCTAGATTCAGTCTTCTTTGTCACTGGGTGGCAAAAATGGTGAGCCCTTAGATGTGTGGGTTTTAGTCATCTTGAGACAGGACCCCAATTCACAGGCACTCTGCCTCCAACTTACTCTGACGGTCTTAGAGGTGGCCTGAGAAAGCAGCCTCGGGATTCCTCCTTGCTGTGGCTGATGTTTGCTGTGGGAAATCACTGATCGTGGAGTTAAAGCTGCCACTGAGCTCAGATTCACTGTCACACAGGCAGCAGGAGCCAAAGCCAGGATTCTCCCCGCAGGCATTCTGGCTCCAGACCCTAATCAATTTCTGACTGTGATAAAATGTTTGCCTTGATCCTCCATCTACAGACCTGGCATTATTCTTCAGTTCTGCCTTCAGAACTGGGCTCGCATCTCCACTCTACTACTTAAAGACCCAAGATCTTGAACAAGTTATTTAACACTCTGGTTCTCAAGTACCTCTTCTGTAAAATGAAAATTATAAAAGCACCCACTTCACAGAGTCGTTTGTAAATAATATGAGTTAATATATGCTAGTAGCTCAAAACAGCACATGCATATTAATAGTAGTAAATGTTAATGATATTATTACCTCCTCTTTAAACCTCACCTAGAGCCCCTGCGCATTCTTTGACCTCAGTTCTCCAATCCCAGGGGACTTTCTGAGGCTTCTGAAGTGCATACTTCAGACAGCAAACATCTTATTGCTCTGGAAAGGAAACATCGCCCTCCTCCCCAGCCTGGAAACCTTGGCCTGGCACGTGGAGAGTAAAAGCTTAGGCTGTGAATCTCTTAGTCTTTCTAAGCTTTCCAATTTCCATCTCTTTAAAATGGGCTTTTTTTTTTTTTAAGGTTACCATAGGGTGCACCTGCTTACCAGAGACAGAGAGAGAGAGAGAGAGAGAGAGAGAGAAGGAAAGTGAGAAATCACGCCACAATGGGGGATGGTCACACCTCAATCAGTTCTTCTCCATTCTCCTCTTGGGGTTTTGGGCATGCACACACACGTGCCCAATGTGGTTTTCAAGCCAGAGTTCAGGACTTGAACCACAGTTGGCTATGTGGGATCCAGCCATCTTAACCATCATACCACCATCTGGCCCGTTTTTAAGTATTGAATGGAATAATGGAACGTACCTATCACAGAACAAGATTAGCTATTATCAGGGTGCAGCTTACTAAACGTTGCTCATTAGTAGGGTGCTGCTCAGTAAAGAAACTAATGAGACTTCTAGAATCTCAGAGAGGAGATCTGCAACCATGAAGACCCTCTTTCTATCGTCTGACCATTTGAGAGCAGATCAGAACTGAGGCTGTCAGCCGAGCCTGTTCTCTGTGCACCTGACTGTAATACATGAAAGGGTATGCACGGAACAGGTCTCCACAGTTTGCATTTCTTGCTCACACATCTACTCTGCGTCAGAAATCCCCAGTTTACACATGAGGCAACTGAGACACACCAAGCACAAAAGATTTGCTCAGCATTGACTAGCCGGAATCTATTCCCCCTGACCCTACAAAAGCTTCCCTTCAGAGATTTTTCTATTTCAGGTGAATGTCAACAACGAAACAGGTTTATGTGGCAAGGCTAAGCTGGGGCGGTTGCCATCAGAAAGTGGTTCACCTTGGGACCAACAGTTAGCATAATGGCTATGTTGCTGGACTCCCATGTAGTTGACGGCGGTTTGCATCCCGGACCCGGTGGCTTAAAACTCATACCAGACATGTGTGCATGCGTGCCCAAGATCCCGAGAGGAGAATGGAGGAGAAGGGATTGCGGTGTGGCCATCCCCCATGGGAGGTGATTTCTCACTTTCTGCCTCTCTGTCTCTCTCTGTCTGTCTGGCGAGCGCACGTGCCCTATAGCAAAAACCTCTCCAAAAAGAAAAAAAAGAACTGTTCACCTTAAAAAAAGAATTTGTAAGGTGCTGGCAGGTGGTGTAGTGGTTAAGGCACTGAACTCCCACATGGCCTACCATGATTTGAGTCCCAGACCTGGCAGCTTGCTCTTCCTCACTTTCCTTTTCTCTTTGTCTCTGGACGAATTAAATTAAATTAAATTAAAAAACCAATAGTAATAATACAATGAAATAAATAATTCTTTTTTAAAAAAAAAGAATGTTTAATTCTTGACATGTGGAGGCGTGAAATGGACAATAGACTTGGAAACAGAACCCTACCAAATC